GGGGTGGGGGGGGCATGTTGACGTTCATGTGAAGTGCATACGGTGTCGATGCTACGTTGCATACATGGGGTGGGGGAGGCATGTTAACGTTCATGTGAAGTGCATACGGTGTCGATGCTACGTTGCATACATGGGGTGGGGGGGGCATGTTCGCGTTCATGTGAAGTGCATACGGTGTCGATGCTACGTTGCATACATGGGGTGGGTGGGGCATGTTAACGTTCATGTGAAGTGCATACGGTGTCGATGCTACGTTGCATACATGGGGTGGGGGGGGGGCATGTTAACGTTCATGTGAAGTGCATACGGTGTCGTTGCTACGTTGCACGTATGGGGTGGGGGGGTGGGGTCATGTTAACGTTCATGTGAAGTGCATACGCTGTCGATGCTACGTTGCACGTATGGGGTGGGGTGGGGGGGGTCATGTTAACGTTCATGTGAAGTGCATACGCTGTCGATGCTACGTAGCACGTATGGGGTGTTCACGTTAATGTGAAACCATAAAAGAATTATAAAAGATGTTTCATGTGTGTATTATAAATAATGTTGTAATCGTTTGCTGCATCTCAGGTGTGGTTCTCAGACAGATGCAAAGGGTCTTGGCTGGAAGTGGTGGTGCTGATGAGATGTTTTAGAAAGTTTAGGAGCTTTGATGTCCAAAGTCAATGAAGCCTTGGGTTACTGGAAATAACAAGTAGAAGAAAAGCAAGAAGTGAAAAAAAGGAGCTTGGCAAAACACGTGTGGGCATGAGATGAAGTTTTCGAAAGATATTTTTTGTCAGAAATGACGTTTTCGCTATAGCCAAATTCAAGAATTGGAAACAATTAGGCGCGCCTACAGCACTTTTGACGCTTCCACTCGAAGCATTTGAAGATGGCATGTAAAAACACTGTAAATAATGGGGTATGAATCCAAAACAGGATCAAAGTAACATTAAAATAACGCAGAAAGCGTGGTCGCCCTACAGGCGCCATAACCATGTTTGTATGTATGTATGTACGTATGTATGTATGTAGGTATGTATGTCTGTAGGTTTGTATGTATGTATATGTATCTGTGTGTATGTATGTGTGTATGTGTGTATGTGTGTATGTATGTATGTATGTATGTGTGAATTGCACCTGATTCCAGTCACCTTCGATTGTCCAGCCAGTGTTAGGGGAAGCATCCATCACATTTGCCAGCAGCACCTTCCTGCGACCGTGGACCGGTGGCTCAAGGCCAACTTTGTGAGGAGCACATAGGGGAAAAAGCAATGTGCGGCCGTTGGTGAGTTCAGAAGCTAGGAAGCTTCGCTAGGCATTTGGGTGTGGACATCCTGGACAACTTCTTGGGGATTTTCCTTTTGGTGAAACAGGTCTAGAAAGGCCTTGGTGGAGATAGGAGGCTACCAGTGGACTGCTTCGGCAGTTACACTGGTAGCGGAGCCGCAAAGGCTCGTGCTACCAAAGAGCACGCAAAGCCGGTGAGGTCATGTCGGCCGCTGGCTCGAATGAGGAAAAAGGGTCAAGCTTGTGGAGCCAACTTCCCAGCTTTGACCCTAGCGTGGATGACGTGAGGGAGTTCATGCAGAAGGCGAGATTTCTTCATGGAGTGTTTCCTGACAAGGAAAAGAACAATTTGGCCCCGAGACTAGCGATGTTATGCAAAGGTACTGCATGGAGCCAGGTGAGGCACTTGGATCCAACAAAGCTAGTGGACCCAGAAAACGGTGTGAAGTATCTCCTAGATGCACTCTCCCCATGGGAAGAGACCAATGAGCTCAAGACGTTTGAGCTCTTCGAGAAGGCCCTGTACAAAGTGACGCAAAAACCAGATGAAGCAGCCCATAGTTACTCGCTCAGGATGCAAGCAGCCTTCAACGACTTGGGGGACCAGGCAACAATCAAAGAGATGCAAGCCTTCGTTTTGCTTAGGCAGTCGTGCCTCACGAACGAAGACAAGAAACGAGTCCTAGCAATGTCCAATGGCAAGCTGGAAGTTCATCCGGTTGAGCAAGCTATGAGAACACTCTCAACGAGAGTACTGCTTGGGAGTGGGGAACAAAAGAAAAAGATCTACCCCACCAACTATGTCGAGCCCGAAGAAAACCATGCAAACAATGATGAAGAGGTGCCCATGCAGAGCACCTACCAGGTGATCACCGAAGAGGAAGACGCCCTCACAGCTGAAACGATAGACCAAATGGCCCAAGCGGGCGATGATGATGCGTTAACCGTGCAACAGTTCGAGCGTGACTTTGAGGAGATGATGCAGGACATACCCGACCTGCAGTCAGCACTGGTTTCGTATCAAGAAGCTCGCCAAAGGATCAACGACAGGAGACGATCGAGGGGGTTCTGGCCGTCCAAGAACCGCAGCAAGGGACAAGGCAAAGACTTCCAATCAGGTGGTCGCTATGGTCGAAAAGGGGGACAGAAAGGTGGGAAAGAAGAACTTCTTTCTCGAATTTCAAGGACCCATTGTAAGCTCTGCGGAGTAATGGGACACTGGAAAGCAGAATGCCCCCAAAGACGTGAACAAGCGCGAGAGCAGGCAAATGTGGTTCAACCAGAAGGACAACATGATGAAGATCCACCTCAGGTGATCGTGGAAGAGATGCACGAG